CTGGTTCATTATCCCATTACTAGGTTCCTTTCAACCCTTTCCAAGCCCTCCTACATCCTCTAACACATCACAGAATGCTTCCTCCAGTAGCGTCCTATAACTGAAACCTGGTTTTCTTTTAAGGACAATGTATCTCTTGCCGTCTTTACTTAATTTCCACCATTCCCTCCCCCAGTTCCTCTGTAACTTTCTCGGACACTCTCCCTAGCCTAGGATGACCCAATTAACCTTCATGTGAATTCTCACAGCATTATAAACACCACTATCAGAGTACTTACCACATATTTAGTGGGAAAAAGACCAGAGAGTTCATTAAATTCTAGTAAACTTACTGCAAGAGTTAATGGATGAGAAACTGGTCCAGTGCCAGAAGATACCTCAGAACCTGGACAAAGGGCAGAGGCCACTTCTACAATGTAAAAACCTGACTATTACTAATACTTGGGACAAGAAGGGAACATACCTGGGCAAATGGCCAAGCAAACCAATACGTAGTACTAAGATCCAGGTCTGGACTGATTACTTCCTATTGTGTACTTGTATTTCTGTTCTTACTGATTTCTTTCCTCTACTTTAAGATAATGTGCAAAGATGAAGAATGAAATGAAAATATGTATCACTAATATGGTCTGTTAGCCTGAAAGGAATTGTGAGCAAGATGAAGAGGTATCAAGAAAACTGTGTATGTCAACAGAAAATTATGACACGGTTCCCTTGTGCAATGTTAAGTAGCACAAGATTAAAAAAAAAAAAAATTGGAAAAAAAAAAAAAAGCCAAGCTTAAGCAGCAAATAAAAGCCTGATTAGTTTGAATTCCACTCTATTTCTATACTATCCTATTATCTCTTGTTAAAAGGCCACAGAAGTAGGAGTCTTGGAGTTAACAGTATTACACCTATTCGCTTAACTGTCTGAATGTCCTACTAGAATTACGAAGAATCGGGGAGCAAGGAGTAATCCAGAGTCTACCTGCATCATGGCCAACAGCAGCCACTCAATAAAACTGTGCTGGAAGTGACTATTTTAAAGCCATTAGGAATAGAGGCTGCCGAATGGGAATGTGTCTTTCTTGCCTCCCCAGTAACTATCAGCTCTTTCAAAGACATTACTCATATACTCTTCACCAAAGCAAAGGAAAATTGGCTCATTGATATTTGTTAACTAATTATAGCAATTTCTGACACTAGAGAACTTGGGAGAAACTGAGGCATGTACTAGAAAAAGGACCTTACTGACAGAAAAAATCATGCAAAGTCTCTAAATGAATGGCTCTAGGCTGTAGATACCACAATTGTCTTACTTTTTGCTATGCATGGAGGCACTTGATGTATCTCAGTAGTTTAAAGAGAATAGTATCAACATGGCATTCTACACTTAATCTTATTCTATAGAATTAAGTATTTGGATTTTATGATCTTTCAGGAAACAGTAATAGATTCACTATGAGAGAAGGAACTAATGAGTGCTTACTATGTGCAAGACATTATATTTGGCATGTTAGCTACATTATTTTATTTAACATTCACAGTTACCTAGGAGGTATGCATTAATGTCTTCTTTTTCAGATGAAAAGAAAAAAAAGGAAAAAGAAAGGAAAAGTGACTTTACCAAGGTCACCTAGGTAGTAGGTTGTAGATCAAGAATTCTAATCCAGGTGTGACTCCAAAGTGCGTATTTTTCACTAATGAAACATAAATTGGTTACTGCAAACTCAGTCCTTAAAAGGAAGCTTGAGACAATCAGCTCTGTATCTCATGAATATTCATAAACAATTTAAAAAAAAGAGGCTTGAACTTACAAAATTTAGAATCTGATTAGTGGGATAATTCTTTTATTCTCCTTAAATTTTCATAAAGATTAGAACAAAATTAGAATTCTAACAGCAATATAGTATAATAAATTTGTCAGCCGTATTACCTTGCAGCCTCATCTTCTAGTTTCTTTTTCTGTAGTAGTTCTAATCTTTTTCTTTCAATTTCCTTTAACTTATCACGTTTGATCTTATGAAGTTGTTCAAGGGCTAACTGCTGTGTATTGTAGCTTTCTCTCAGTTCCTAAGAAGAAAATGAAAATAAGTCAATACCTGAATGATTTCAATATTTTTGTCTTATATAATAACGTGGCATTTGCATTAAAAGACAAAAATCCTAAAGCAAGTTAAACTAAATTGAAAAGATTTAAAATTTTAAAAAATATCTAGATTTAAAAAAATTTTAAGTACAGTAAGTATTTTAAGCTATGTAGTCACTGAGACAAATAATAAGGGTACTTCAAAAAGTTCATGGAAAATAGAATTAAAAGATAATACGAACCCTTCCATGAACTTTTTGAAGTACCCTCAATACATGTTAAAATCATTTACTTTTGCATCAATTCATTTCTAAGAAACACAGAATCTTTAACAAGCCAATTCATTGATTTGGTATGCCATTTTCAACAACAAAAAATCCATTAAAAATATGGGGGAACAATTCACTTGTTATAACATCTGAAGCGGAATTTTGCTCAGTCACGTTTTTGACATATGTAACCAAGTTACCAGTAACTTTTATCCACCAAGATCTTGAACTAAACACGGAAGCAGTTATTAAATACTTAGTTCAAAACTAAAAATGGAAAAGATAATGTGTGCCTAGATGACTAGAATGAGCCAAAATAGTGAAAAGTATCCCAAACAAGATTTGAAATAAATTGCTTATTGAGCATCTACTTGTGTGCAAAGTGCTTTAAAGGATTCAAAGGGGATCCAATCCAAGGCTGTCTGACTCCCAGGTCTAAAATCTTTGCCTTCAAAGAGTTCACCATCTCAAAGTACAGAAAAGTGCCCAAATGTGAGATATAGATAAGCACCTTAGCTGAAACTTGTGATTATCTGTTCAGCATTTTCTTTCCCCCTTCTTCTAACAGTACCCTTCCTTCCTTTGGGAAACTGATGTCCCCAACCTTCCCCCCACCATCCTATGTGTTTTTGATGGATCTGTCAAACACAGGGCTCCTTCTACTTTCACCCAGGTGTGATCATTTATTCTTGGTCTAAATAATCACACCTCACCTCCCTATGCAGAATGATTGGTCCAAAGGACATGAATATGATCCAAGCTGGGCCAGTATCTTTTCCTGGCATTCAGATATACTGAAGAGGGGAGAAAGAAACCTTTCTCTGAGCTCATTAAAATGGGATAAGGTAAATCCGGAGCTGCCTTACTACCAAGTGACACCATGAGTAGTAAGAATGAACTTAACACAGAAAAAAGAGAAACAAAGATTAGAGAGACAGAAGTAAAAGGGGGGGGGGGGGGGTACTAGGGGAACCAACTCTTCAACTTCATTGCTCACTGTCCTGGGACTTGCCCCTGTCCAGCAGCTTTTCTACCAATTCAGTTAGTCGTCCTAGATTCTTCCAGTAATTACTCTTTAGCTTAACTTTTTCATTTTGTTTTGGTGGCTGGCTGGTACAGGGGATATGAACCCTCGATCCTGGTGTTGTAACACGGTGCTCTAACCAACTAAGCTAATTTGCCAGCTCCTTAATTTAACTATTTTGAACTGGATTTCTTTCACTTGGAACCTACAGAATCCTGATCAAGAGTAGAAAAAGAAGGCTGGAGGAAAGGAGACAAAAAAAAAAAAAAAGCCTTAAAGTAATCAAAAGAAATTTCATGGCAAAGGTCGTTGGGAGCAAGACAATATTTGGGTAGAATGTTTTGGTAAAAAAATGTTTTTGGTATCTACCACACACAATAACAAAACTCCAAACCAAAACCAAACTATTTCTTTTCAGAAATAAACTATTTTATAGGTGAATCTTTTAACTTGACTGAAATGGCAAATCTGATCTGAGTATAGTGTGGTGTATGGAGTCTATGTTCAAGATGCCTGAGCAAAATATTTGCAACTTAAGCCAGTAATAATACAAATACTTCACTCATGGCAAAATTTCTACAGCAGTCGGCTTCTATAGTTTTATTTGTTGCACCTTTCTCTAAATTCTATTGAAAACCAGAAGGATATGGCAGTTACAATCTACGGAGAAGCAGTGTGGTTTAGTGACAAGGAGCACAGGTCTAAAATAAGATGGCCAAGGTGTGAATCAGACTGTCAGTGACTAGCTGTATAACCTCAGGAAAGTTATTTTATAGTTTTCTCATCTGTAAAATAAGGTTAATTATAGTACATGCTTCACAGGTGTTGTGAGGATAAAATGAGTTAAGACACGTCAAGTGCTTAAAGTAGTGCAGGGCACATATTTCTCAACAAATATTACCTATTACTATAGGCTAAAGCCATAAGTAAGGAGAGTCCTAAGTTTAACAGGAGAGTAGGAGAGATAAGAGGAGCCAAATTAATGTCTGATCTTAACATGGCTACAAGGTTAGCCCTCCAACTTATTCTTTAAGATAGTGCTCCACATATTCCTTTACTAGCCCCATTCCTCCAGTGTCAGAGTTAATGAGCTTCCTTGTGGTTCCCAGGCATTCTGTGCATTCCTCTATCACGGTCAGTGTCTGCTGACTGTATGATTGCCTCCTCCACTAAAGTATGTTTTGGGCAACAGGACTATCTTTCATTAAGGTGTCCTCAGCCAAAAGAGCCTGATACAGTAGAAATATTCAATAAGTATTTATTGGATGAATAAAAATGCACAAACAACAGTCTACACAGATTAATAAGATCTGAAGAGCACCAGAAGGACTGTCAAAACATTTCCTCTACCTGACCACACTGATCCTAGAAATCCCTATCCTTAGGCTTATTCCTCTTGGTTAAGTCACTGCTTCTAGGAGATCATGGTTAAATATATCAGTTAACTGAGAAAAGTAAATGAACAGAGTTTTTCTCAATTATAATAGAATAACAGCTAATCTCTTTCAGTTTAAGGAACTTCTACTTTTAGTTTGCTAATAAGTCTTAATTTTTAAAATTATGAACGAACGTTAAATTTTATCAAATACTTTTCTGTATCTAATGAGATGAGCATACCATTTTTCTCTTTTAATCTGTTTATATAGTAAATCACATTAAACATTTTTGTATGTTAAATCATCTTTGCATGGATGAGATAAATCCAACCTAGTCGTGATGAATTATCCCTTTTACAAATGTTTGCACTTGGTTTTTTAATATTGTTTATGTGTTGTTGCCTGTATGTTAATTGGCCTATCGTTATCCCTTCTCATAGTGTTCTTATCAAGTTTTGATTGTCTATGATAGCTTCATATGATAATTTGGGAGTATTTCCTCTTTTCTATATTTTGAAATAGCTGCATAAGAGTGGAATTATTTGTTCCTTCAGTAAAAACTCTGGGTCTGGATTCTCTTTTAGGGAAGTTTTGAACTATAGATTTAAAAATTTTTTTTTTTTTTGTCCTTTTTGAGACTGGCAGCACCGCGCTCAATGATGATAGAACTATAGGTATTCTATTTTTTCTTGAGTCAGTTTTGAAAAATTATAATTTGTTCATTTCATCTAAATTTTACATTTGTGTGCAAAAATTTGTCATAATATCCTCTTCTAATATCTGCAGCATATTTAGTTATATCTTCTTTCCACTTCCAATTTTATTTCTGCTTTCTCTCTTTTTTATGTCAGTCTTGCCAAAGTTTTTAAAATTTTATTAATCTTTAAAAGAATCACTTTTTGTCTTTCTTGATTCTCTGTATTAAATGTCTTTATTCTGTCTCACTAATTTCCTTCTACTTTCTTTGATTATGCTATTCATTTTCTAGCTTCTTAAGTCGAACATTTAGCTTATACATTTTTATCCTTTTTCTTCCCAATATAACCATTTAAGCTAACACCTTGACTACCTAAGTTAAATTTCTCCTCTTCCACTTACTAGCTTGTGTGACCTTGGGTAAGTTACTTAACTTCTGTCTTAATTTTCTTCTAAGTGAAATGTGAATAATATTACCTATGGCATACGGTTAAGGTGAGGATTAAATAAGTTAATGTTAGAACAGTGACAGTCACAGAGAAATCCCTTAATAAATTTTAGCTATTATTAGTATATCTTGATTTACGAATTATAAAATTGCTATTGACTCCTGATTATGAAAGATGAGGAATCAGCTCATTAACACTATTCCCTCTCTCTTCTCCATTTCCCAATATTGATATTTACCTTTGGTTAATCTATTTATTATCTTTATAACTCAAAAATATACTATGTTTCATTTTTCATAAACATTTAATACTTCCTAACTCTAAATTTTCTTTCCAGCTTTTTATTATGAAAAATTTCAAACCTACAGAAAATTTAACTAAGGTGCAGACACTGATGCTTTCACCCCTGGATACTACGTTCTCCTATATAACTACAATGTCAATGCCAGTTCTAAAGAAAATGAACACTGATATAATATTACTTAATACAGAGCTCACAGTCAAAAATTTCCCTAATAATATAAATATCATCCTTAATAACAGCTTTTACTTTCTGATCCATGATCCAATCAAAGATCACATACTGCATTTATTTGGCATGGCTCTTTAGTCTCCTTCTGTGATGCTCTGGGTCTTCTTTAATTTAGTAGACTTCTTCTACCTTTTACGAGATTCATATTTTTAGAGTGTATGTTAGTCAGTTGTTTCATAGACCAAACCACAGTTTGGATTTCTCTAATTATTTCCTCGCACTTAGATTAAATATTTTTGGAAAAAAAGAAGTGGTAGTGTGTCTTTCTCACATATATGTGCTGCATCATATCAGGAAAGACACATAATGTTGGTTTGTACCACTTTGTTTTTTTTAAAAAGATGACCGGTAAGGGGATCTTAACCCTTGACTTGGTGTTGTCAGCACCACGCTCACCCAGTGAGCTAACCGGCCATCCCTATATGAGATCCGAACCCATGGCCTTGGTGTTATCAGCACTGCACTCTCCCGAGTGAGCCACAGGCCGGCCCCTGTACCACTTTGATAATACTAAATTTCATCACTTGGTTATGGTTAGTTTTTGGCCTGAGTATACCTAAACATAGCTCAACAATGCATTTATGAAAAAAAAACTTAAATCCAGCATCTATTTTATTGTTTTCAGTGGAAGGGTTGCT